TTTACTTATTGTAAAATTCTCCTGAAAAATCGCTACAGCTGCCAAACAAATTCTATTAAGCAATTATTTTCCCCCCCTATATTATTTGTAGGCTATAGCTTGTTGAACTCCTGGAAGTCTAGGGAATCATAAAAAAGGTGCTGAAAAAGAAGACATGCATATTTTCGATCATTTTATTGGCAATCCTGCAAGAAATCGGACTTTAGGCTCACTAGGACTATATGAATGGTATGATTTAACCAAGGATATAGGAGTCAACTAGGTGCCATAGGAATGTTTTGGGGCATGGCTGAAAGAAATACATGCATACATAATTTTGTACCATACTTTTGCTTATTCCGCAAAAATTCGGTCATTTGGGATCGCCAGGACTACATAGTTGATATGGAATAATCAAGTATGTGATAAGTACGCTGCAATCCATCGCTTTTTATTCAAATAAAAGATAAAGAGCATACAATATTCAAAATAAAATACTACACTTTGCATATTTACTTAAATAATCTTAATTTAAATATTTATTTTTATTCTCTTAAAAGCTACGGATACAATTTTAAACTTTTGCTTATTCTATTATGATTTGCTTGAACTTATTTGAAATTGCATTACTTCAGGTTAAGCTGTCAGCTCCTGGAGAAATGTGCCTATTGGAGCCACGGCAGTCTGAAGCATCGAAACAATCTGAAAAGATCAAATATAGTTTAGAGTGAAGCATTGACATTCTATATATATAAAGTTATTGAAACTACAAAATAACAATCGGCAAATTGATCGCTTGGCATGAAAACCTAACAAGACTGTTCCCAAATGAATGCATAACATTTTTAATATGTCATATGTAGAGCACCAACTCGGATGGTTTTAGGATAGTCCATATAAAACATATGTATCTTACTTATTTGTCAGTTACCTTTCGCTGGTTGCAAAGCTGTGCCAATAATCAGATAAAGAACTGTGTCTGGCCTATGTTTAGTTCTCCAATTCCACTTTGAGCTTCAGATGTGTGGGCAGTTCGTTGTAGATGTGGGGCGGTACGCGAGCTGTGTCGAGAAAGAGATGATGAAGTGATGTGTGACGGCAAGACAAACGTGCCAAAGGGCTACTCACTGTTGCATTTGTAAACCAGGTCCGACCATATAATCATTTCCTGAGAAAAACAAAAAACGCCCAGCCTTCCGCCCTTGAGGGTAAGCGTGGCGTCGTACACATTGTGCGAGTCCAGAATCAAGCGTTCGCCCTCAAATATACTAATGGGAAATTAGATGTATTCATGAGATGGGCTAGAGGTGGAAATACTGTGTTTTGCCAAATTACCGCAATCTGATGAGGCCAATGGTAGGTCGATGCACTAGGGACCACCGATACGAGGTCTTCTCCTTCCAGCCAGCGTTTAGCGGATCCTTCCAAAGAAGCCTTGCCTGTCCAGGCGTATCGCCAGCATGCCACAAACTGTTACGCAGCATGGATCCCGGTCCCGTGTTGCTGTCAATCAGCTTTATCTGGACGCCTGGCTCCGCGGACGCCCGAAAGGGTGATGAATGCCAGTAGGTCTGTGTGCCCTTCTTCCACTGCACCACATAAAATTTGCGATTGCTCTGGTAGCTGAAGATGAAGCCAACATAGTCGTCGTCCGTATCATCGTTGACATAGAAAGTGCCCTCAAAATCAACACCTCCAAAGGAATCGCTGCCAACGACCAAGCCCGGATCGGAGTTCAGAGTTTGTAGAATCTCTGAGCCATTCGCATGCACCTCCCAGTTGGGATCCAGCTGGGCATCACCTTCTGGGTCCAAAATAACTGAGCGTATTGTGCGGAAGTCGGTGCGATGTATCATGGAATTGTTTGGACAGTTGTCGATTATATTGGGCGTGCCGTCCTCATCCTCATCATCCTCGCACACATCGCCCTTGCCATTGTGATTAACATCCAATTGGTCTGGGTTTCTAGCCAACGGACAGTTGTCTCTGTAGTTGGGCACGCCATCGCCATCAACGTCGTCGTCACAGGCGTCGCCTTTGCCATCAAAATCTGTATCCAGTTGGTCCGAATTGCTGACCATCGGACAGTTATCCTCCGAGTCCTGTATGCCATCGTCATCGCCGTCGATGTCGCTGTCGCAGGCGTCGCCCACCAGATCCATGTCGCGATCCTCCTGCATTGGATTCGGAATCGTGGCACAATTGTCACACACATCACCCACTCCATCGTTATCCACATCAGATTGATTTGGGTTGCGCAGCGCAGGACAATTGTCATACTGATTTAGGACTGAATCGTTGTCAATATCATCATCGCACTCATTGCCCATGCCATCCTCGTCGGTGTCCAGTTGCCGGCGATTGGGTATGAACACACAGTTGTCACAGGCATCGCCCACACCGTCGTGATCCGTGTCCATCTGATCGCTGTTATAGGCAAACGGACAGTTGTCCTTGCTGTTGAGCACCTGATCGCTATCCGCATCATCGTCGCAGCCATCGCCAACGCCATCCAGGTCGGCATCCTCTTGCCCAGAGTTCGGTAAATCGGGGCAGTTGTCGCGCCGGCAGTGTGGCTCCGCGCAGTTCAGCGACTCATCCGGCCAGCCGTCCAAGTCCCGATCTCGACCACAGACCTTGCCATTGCCCGCCCAACCAACGTTGCAGCGGCATTGATAATTATAGTTATCGAGGGCCACGCATTCCGCATTCCTGGCACAGATGCTGCCATCGGGACACAGCTCAGACGCGGACAGGCAACTGAAGGTGCCATTGGCCACATAGCCCTCATGACACTGACATCGGTAGGAGCCCTAGAGGATTACAGGTTATTTATGAACTGACGCTTCATTTGCTTTCGCTGGGAATATACCTACAATGCTATTTTGACAAGTCGCATGCTCCGGGCATCTAAAGAAGCCCAACTTGCATTCGTCTATATCCAAGCAGGTTTGCTTCTGAAAGCCCACGGCCAAGTAATCCGCTGAATAGCCTAAGAAGCATACAGATATTTATTAGTTGAATTACTATTATTTGAATTTTTGAATTATTAATTTAATTTTAATTAAACAAGCTAAATACCATGCGCATGAACGCCATCAAAGCCAGGCGGACAGGGGCCGCAGAGAAAGCCCGGATTGAGATTCTTACAAACGGCCAATCCATCACAGGGCTGATAGAGCGCACACTCATCCACATCGTGGCAGCTGGTGCCATTGATTTTATGTCCACGTGGACAGGAGATGCACTGAAAGTAAGGCGCAAATCCCAGCTGAATGCATTCGACACCTAGACAAAGGGGAAATTTTTAAGGGTTTAGTATTCATTCAATTTTTAAATAATTATGTTTATTTCTGATGAGTACGAGCCAAGAGATTAGTACATAAATAAATGGCTTTGGCTATTAGTTGTCCCTTAACCAAAAGTTCATGACGAACTACACAAATGTATAACACAATATAATATATTCACAGATATTGTGCATATAATGCATGACCAGAAAATGATAGTGAATAAACATGAAGCGCCATGGAGTTCAATAATAGGCAAGAAAATATAGGCATATGAGAGATGAATTTCGGTGGAGATAGAAATAAGAGAAATGAGGAATAAAATTTTATTTACCGAAAGAACTGTGTCCGAATCGCACGACCGCTGAGCTATTAGAAATTTGTTAATTGCTCAAATAAAACAACCGAAATTTGATTTGTTTTTGAAAAAATAGTTTATAATTTTATTCACATTTCATTTAAGGCATTACAGAGAGGGGAAAACAAATTTCGTTTCACGCTTATCAACTCCACTTTCTGGTTGAGTGTGAAAGATTTTACTATTGACAATTTTGATTATAGTTATTTTTATATTTAATTGTAAGTATTTTTGATAAATCTTTGTATGTGTATTTGTATAGAGCGAAACGTTGCTAATACTTTCAATTATATATCTTTTTGCCATTCGTGGAGCTTACAACTTATGACTATTTATAAAGTGATTAATTAATTAAGTGCTCTCTCTTTTTCTCTCTGTCGCTGTCTCTGTCGCACTGTCTGTCTATAGGTATAAGCGAATTTAGAATCAAATTCTACTGCAGTGCTCTGATTCAGTTCGTTACGACCGAGTATTTGCGCGCCGTGTACTGGCTCTGCCTCTGATAGTGCTGCACATTATGTGTGGGTATTAGAATGTTGCCTAATAATGAGAATTGTTTATGCATTAATATCGTATAATAAATTATTGGTTATTTGTGTCATTCAGCTAAGCAAATCCACCCACTGCCGAAACACTTTGTACTTTAGCCGAATTCAATTAGCCAACTTGACTTATAAGGCACGGCATTCCAGCACGCCTTCAATATGAATCAGTTCCTGTCCTTCAATTTTTTCTCTCTCTTTCTCTCTCTCTCTCTCTCTCTCTCTCTCTCTAAATCCGTGCGTCTGCTCCTCTAATTAGCAACCTCGTTTCACACATTCATTGAAAATTGCTCGAGTACCCTATAATTTAGTGGGGATTTCAATCAAAAGGGTTCCGCGCTTCTCTCCACTCGCTTTAATTTTGTCCGAGCTGTGCATTAATAAATCAAACAGTCGTGTGAATTGTGTGCGCTACAAGCCAATGGCTAAGGCATTTCAATTTTCTTAAACAACTTTGTTTTCTAGACAATTGAGTATAAAAGTAAAGATGGGATATAACAGAGTGTACAGAGAATATAAACAAGTTCATCAAGAGAATATATACATTTAATCTACAGAAGTTGACCCAAACCAAATCCGAAATATCTTCTATATAACCCAACAGTCTCCATATACATTTTTCTACATTTATAATATTTCTCAATTGGGATACTACTTCTACAAGTTTTATGGAAAACTGAAATAAAATAAAATATTTCATTATAATTATATCAATTATCAATACAATCCGCCCTTTGAATCTCTCTTTCCTTAACTTTTCAAATATTTCGAATGCATTTGGCATTGTTTACTTTTACTGTGTAAGAATTAGTTCTGGGATTTTATATGGAAAATATGCTGCATGATCTTTGATCTATTGTTGACTCACGCCTAACCAAAGCTCTAAGCTATCTAAGCCAACCTACACATATACAGTTAACTTCAGTTCGGGGCACGACATACTTAAATTAGCCATAAAAGAGCTGAAAACAAAACGTGGCCCCAAATCTCAATTTGAAACTTAAACTAATCAAAAACTCAAACAGACCGCAAAGAGGGAAAACACAACACACTGTTGTTGTTGTTGTTGTTATTGTTTATGTCGTTGTTTTTGTTGTTGTTATGTTTGTTGACTTACCTGAGGGGCATGGTGATTCCAGGCAAGGATTACGTAGCGTACATGTGCGTCCATCGCCTTCATAGCCAACCGGACAGGAGTCACACTGAGCACCGTTCACCGTATCGTGACACTGAACGCCTCTGCAAAAGACAGAGAGACAAGGAGAGTTTGTGTGAGAAAGAGAGCGAGAGAGAGAGAGAGAGAAATAGATAGAGGGCTATTGAGTATAGAGGTAAATGCTGATGTGCCTGTGTTTTGTTTGCGGCCACATATTGTTTATTATTATTAATACTGACAGGCAGGAACAAATATACAACAAAAGATTGTAGAGAACCGAAAACAGCATACAAAGTTAAATTTATTAATGATGTGCGCTCCATGCCCATAAACACAAAAGCCAGCCAGACAGAGGCAGAGAGCGTGAGCGTGAGCGAGAGCGCGAGCGCGATAAAGCGCAGGAAGAGAAAAGGTTATAGCAGTTGGGGCCCCTCCGCGGTCGCCTCTCTCATACAAAAGCACCGACAAAGCGCACACATGTGCATGCTCGAGTCGGTTCAGGGTCTTGGATTTTGGAATATGCACAGGAAGAAGCAGAAGAAGATGCCCCAGCCCAACCCGAGCCCGAAAAGAAAACAAATTACAATTACAAGAAAATGTTATTAAAAGCCGTCGAGGCAAAATAAATAAAAGAAGGCACACTCTGTGCATGTCTTTTCGGCGTAGGCTGATGATGTCCAACTTCGAATGGCCCATGGCCAAAAAAAATAAAAAATAAGCAAAGTCCAGTTACATGCTGGATGGCATGTAAATTTCTCTTTACGTTTTGGGCGAGTGTGGGATTCGCTTATGGCTACCATACAGCATTTACATATCATGACACGGACATTAGTTATTATCCAGGTTACGGTTGAGCCCAAAACTTTAACAGCTGCGTAACACCGCGTTTGAACAGTTTCAAACTCAGCCAGGCAGGACATAACTCATTGCAATCGCTGAGCCACGCATTTCCCAAGAAAGTCCATCACTCCAACAGACACATCCAACAACAACGTCCAACAGCCTACTACTGTGCCCAACTGACCCACAAGCCATCCGTTGCCATATTTTATGGCAAAATCTACAAAGCGTCAAGTCCCAAAGCAAAAGAAACAAAAGAACTGCTTCACGATCATGTGGGCAGCGTCAAAGCCACACAGAGTTGAAGTGGAAGTCGAAGGCGAAGCCAAAGTCGAAGCCCTTGCAAGTCAAATTCTGTTTGAAATTGAATGCAGCAGCAGGAAATCGTTTAAAAGAAGTCTAAGGTTTTGGGAATTACTTAGGGGAGTCTTAGCATACTCTACTCAGTATCTTTTTTAAATAAATATGATAAAAGTTTCTAATAAAACCTCATGAGATGTGCATATATAATTTTAAATGACTTTAAACTTGGATGATAGACAACTAACTTATATAAGAATAAATTATAATAATACTAAATAATCTGAAATTATAAATAAAATACCTTTTTCTTATATATATAATGTCGTAAAATATATGAATTTTTAGAAATTTAAGTCCGATAACCTGGTAAAAATATTCTAATATATTCTTATATGTATATCTATGATCTAATAATCTAATAATCTAGTAATATAATTTATATGACTAAGTAATCTAAGATTTAGTAAATTGCACAATATATTTTATTTAAATATATATCATTAAAATTTTTGTTCAATACATAAACATATAAATTTGATTCCCAGACATAATTATAGAAATTTAAAATATTTATAAAATTGAATTAAAATATACAATATATTCATAAAATCGAAATGAATAAGATTGCTAAAATTCACTCAGCAAAAATTCTTTTTAGTAATTAACAAATAGAGCAGCCCACAATATCTCCAGTTATGACAAGTAGGCAAGCTTTCAGCTAGATGATTGCGCTCTATATGGCAAGATAGTTATAGGAATGTCAGCTTGTCAGATCCCACGTCAAATTCTTGAGGCCCCGATGTGGTAGTAGAGGGCAAAGCTGGCTAGAACTGAGGCGCAAAACAAAAAGTACTCGAGTGTTGTTGTTTTAGTGCGGCTGAGAGTTTACGCTGTCAGTTTTTTGGTGGATTCATCAGCCGCAGTTGCGGTGATGGTGGGCAACAACACTTGTCGGAAGCGAGCGTGCACGTGTGTGTGTGTGTATGATCGTCAATATTTTGGTAGAAGCATTTGGCGGCAACGCGCAATTAGCAAAAAGTGTTAAGTACTTAAGTGGCCAGGGGACTAAGATGAGGCGGCGCTGCTGCTGTCCATATCCCAGACAGCGATCACGGCAAGACCACGGCGAGGAGTCAGAGAGAGAGAATAAATATTGCGTAGGGGTTTTCGCTTTCTGACCATGTTCACAGGCGCTCGGCTGAGCGTCATTTTTAGCCTCAGCCTCAGACTCAGCTTCGGCCACTTTGCGCTTTTCTGCTTTGTTTCAGTTCACTCGACCATATTGTCTTGGATCCCCTGTGCGTTGGCATCGGCATCGTTTGAGTGCTGGGAAAATAGCCAGCGATGCGCATCGAGGAACGCATTAGCATTTCAGCCACTGCCCCCGCAGCCCCAATCCACAAATTCACCAGCCCAACTAACCAACATCCAACATCTACCATCTACCGGCGGGCCATCTAGCAGTTAGCATGACGAACCCACTTGCCGTTTGCCTTCTTGTTGTTGGTCGTTCATTTTATTAACCACGCATTCATAATTCCAATTTGCTGCCTGGACCTGGAGCCGAAAGGCTGCCGGCCAGTTGTCCGGCTGCCGTTGCCTGCAACTTCCTCATCTTCATCTGATGCTGATGCGGCTGCTGCTGCGACTGCCGCTGCTCAAGTTCAGCTCAAACACTTGCCAGGCACCACCCAAAAAGACACAAAACCTTTAGACACGGACTTCAACTCTGGACAGCGGTGTGAGTAATGTGTGAACAGGGATTTGAAGCATGCAAGAAAGCTTTTAGGATCTGGTCGTTCCTCGAAGTCAGCTACAAAATGACTGACAAGAAATTGGATAAGGATGAGCTAAGGGACAGCGGAAAGAAGCTACAGAAGCGAATTTTTTCCTCAAATTGTAGAGCATATTATAGATAGAGTGAATAGGAATATAAATAAAAACTATACTTGGATAGAAATAAAGGTAGACACGGAAAAGATACAGATCCAGATACAGAAATGGATTTAGGTACCGTCTTCTTCTATTACAACCCATTCCAACAATACATTTCAGTATTTTTCTTAAATATACATAAAATTCATAGAAATTCAATCAATATTTAAAGCATCTCCGATGCCAGTGCCAATCCCATGCGATTCGCCCAGCCCGTCTCACAGATTCATCGGCAGATTGCGTTCACACTTCGCAATCTCATTTCGACGCTCATTGAAATCTTTGGCGAGCAACTATTTTTCATGTGTTCCATAGACATCGCAGGATGAGCCCATTAGATTGCCAGAGTGCATATTATGCACTCTCGATCGTTGTTGCCCGCAACTGCGCGAGACTTATCTATTATTGGAGATGCTGAGATCGCTGCCCGCTTTTATCCCACCCAAATTGCTTCTAATGGTAGCGCATGCCATGCAAATGCATACCACTTACTCTCAACAACAGGAACACTTGGCTCTCCCTTAAAAGGGGAGTTGGTGCATCCACAAGAGCAACAACAACAACAACAACAACTTGCATGTGGCGCACGCTTTGGACAAACTACAACTAACTGCCATAAAGCGGCGTTTATTTTGCCACAGGCCACTTATCTGTGAGGTTGGCAGTAGGTTGGCTGCCTGCCTGCTTGGCTACGTCTCTCGACTTGGTCTTGACTTGGCTTGTTTTTGTTTTCATTGCTGCGCCTGCACACCGAGCGAACGAACGGGCAACGAACCAAGCAGGCAGCCAGAGCCCAGCCGAAGCCAGAGCCACAGCCAGTTGGCTATTAATTTGAATTCAAGCAGTCAAACGCTGCCTCAGTCCACAGCGACACAGTCAACAGCAACAGCAACAACAGCAACAACAACAACAACAACAACAGCAGCAGCAACGACAACGTCAACTTGGAATCAATGGCTCCACTTTTGCGGCTTGGCTGTTGCTTTTTTGGTGCGTAGGCGAACTCGATTCGCGGCTGAGATATGCGTTCCACCGAACTTTGATGTTGCTGTGTGAAGTCAGCTTAGCTTAGCTAGCTCTGCCCCATCGCGCCATCTCTTTCACTGAGACTGTCTCGCTCTCTCGCCGTGTAGCCACTTTCAACCAGTTGATGTTGCTGTAAACGTTTTGTTTTGAGCCCGGCCCCAAAGAATCTGTGGGAAAGTTGCCATAATCAAATGGAATTCTGTTTTCCGAATTGTTCACAACATGTGCAGCATACACATGTTGCAGCTGGAATCGCCATCCAAATGTGTATCTCTATCTAAATCTCAATCTCCGGCTTAGCTAGCCTAGCTGGGGTAATATAATCTTGCCCGACTGCAGCTTGATTGCATTGCTGATTATTTCATCATAGGCATAATTTAAATTGAACAACAGCCTCACAGCTTTCAATGGCAGTGAAACTTCTGACCAACAGAAAGAGCCGAAGGCCAAGCTATGATTGGGTTTTCTTCCGAATTAGGGTCTCTGGTCTATCTGATTCAGGTCTGGGGAAATGGAAAGTGTGAGTTGAAGAGCCTAACTATAGACTAATTGAATTGATGAAGAGCTTGACTCTTTTAGCTTCAATTCTTTGTGTGGTGTGCTGCTGATATAGGGATATTTTTTATGAAAATATGTAGAAAATCCAGTTGCTTGTTTTATATTCATTCATAAGTATTCTATTATTAATCCATATAGACAAGAGCTTAAACATAAACAAAATTTAGGGAAAATTATCTTAAGAAATAGTTATCTCTGTGATTCGTAAAACTCCTTCTAAAATTGTCGTATTATAGATACTAGTCCCGTAGAGTTGTGTACATGACAGATATGCCAACCCCTCAGACTTATATGAGAACTCTAATATCGACAAAAATCAAAAGCGATATTCTGCGAGCCCCCAAAAAACTTAGATTCTAGCTCAATCTCCTTAAGCTTCAAAACACTTCCCAATGCTCATTAACAATTTAAGCACTATGTATATCCGTCGAACGCCCAGCGGCTTTAGAAAACTGCATGATAGCAGCCGAACAATAAAGGATCAACAGGTGTGCATGTCATTAGAGCAAGCTTTATGGCCTTTTAATAGAATCGATTTGAGCCATTCGAGACGCTGGATCCAAAAGTCAAACAAACAAAGAGCTGGCCATGGTTAGCTCAGACAAAGAAAGAAAAAAAAAACATTTCGTGGGTTCTAAATTAAAATGAAGAGCCGAAGCTGGATCTGTGTGCATACCTGTGTGTGTATGCATGTGTGTGCGTGTATTTGTGTCTAGTTTACCACACGCATTGGCCACATCTCATCGATAATGAAAGATGACAGTAACGAGTCGTCGGCGGCGGCGTTGCTCGATGATGCTGACAACATTTAAAACAATTTTATGCAAATTAAAATACGGTCAGCCGGGGCGCACCCAAAGCAAGGCAAACAAGGGTTCTCCTCTGGTCGCGCTAGACACCTACAATGCCCAACATATTGTGGCCATTGGGTTATTGTCTGTTCTGGCCCGTTTCCAATAATTTACACAAATTTATGGCCGGAGCCTCCGTTTCCACTGCGCGTGGCCATACAGGCGCTCACTTGTCGAGTGCGGCGGAGATCTCACATTTCACAGAGAGACTGAGCGAAACACAGAGCCCACAGACCGAAATCACTTTAAGTGTTTTGACACAATGAAGTCAGTCAGTCCTCAGTCGGCAATGCATGCCTGGGCCTATCTGTGCGGGTTCTCGGCACATTTAACTAATTTATGCGTCAGTTTCAAGTGCCATTTGTGGTCCAGACCTCACAGCTTACCGATATACCCTCGACTGCTTCTTTGCCATCTGCATCTTCTTCTTCTTCTTTTATTCTTATACAACATTGTATTATTGCAATGGTTTTGTTGCATTTTGTTTAACAATATCAACAAAATATGCCCGTTACACGGCATGTTTTAGTTTTGTTTAACATATTTATGGCATGTCGATTCGAGATATTCAAGAAATATTCAAGCTTCAACGATTTATGTATTTATTAGTCAATATTCTATTGAAATTGCTGAGGGTCTTTTGCATAATTAGTCGATCGACTCTGACATAAATGAGTTACAGGGCCGTAAAATTAAACCAGAACTTGATCTGCTAGCCCATGGCGTTCTCTTCCGGTCCACTCCATTCCATATGGGCTGTGGGTGATTTTACGACTGGATTCTGCCAAATGTAGGCTTTTCTTTCACCTTCTAAATATCTATAATAACAGCAGGTGTGCTGAGAGTTTTCTTTAATAGCCTTTCTTTGAAACAATATCACATTTCTGAAAACTGTAGGCTTGAAGACTTCTGTTGGTCGTTCGTCTGCATCCATTGGAAGTTAACTTTTGCTCATGCTCACATTTATTTCTGTTCATTGGCTTCCATATAGATTTAAGCCTGGCTTATCGCTGTTCACTTTTAAGGCTGCATCAATTCCTTCTGGCCTTGCTCGCTGTCCCTAATCCTTGATTAAAGAGATTTTCATTCTTAAGATTCTTATTGTTCGGATAGCCTTTGCCATCAGCTTTAAAGCTATCGTTAAACCAGCTGTTATATTTTTGCCATCATTTTTGTAAAGAAGATTTATTCGCCGGGTGATAAACTAGAATGACTTAGTGCTAAGTGGAGTAGCGAGATGCTATCTTAAGCCGACAAGGGATTAGACATTTTGCACATTTGGATTGGCATATCAGGCCAGGCAGATCGAAGCACTTGTCAAGAGCGCAGTCCCAAATGAATGGAAGCCAAACATAACTAATGGTCTTAAAGGAATAGCTGGCATTAAAAAGGCCCCAGAAACTGCCAACGACCAATGACAATCTCTCCAAACTGCTTTCCATTCAAAGCTCAACTCATGCAGATGCCTGCTCGAATAGATTTGGTTTGCAGCATTGCAATTTCAATGGGCAGAACTTATCAATCATAGATAGGAAATGCTGCGGCTGTCTAAAGTGGCAGCCGCGAGTCGCTTGACTGCATCATTAAGCCATAAACAACATCAAATCGCCATTAAGGCCATATGCAAATAATTGCAGACTCAGTGAGAGAAAAGCCCTTGCGAATGCGCCGAGCGACATTTTGCGTGAGGCGGCGCCTTTCAAGCCTCTCAGGCGGCGTCCGTCTGCGTCAAGGGAAGAGCATGACAAATACAATTAACATGGATGCAACGGCCACGCCCTTGACGCCATTAACTAAAGGCGCATATAAAAGCATAAAAACAAAAATAAATGAAATAAAAAGAAGAAACTTAAAGCTAATTTTTCTCACTAGGCACTTACAGAAAACAGGGCCTGTCCGCGCAGCTGACGCCCGGCTTGCAGACTTTGCCATCTCCAATGTAGCCGGCAGGACAACGGCCGCACCTTGGTCCCGTGGCAGACTCATGGCAATCAACGCCTGTGGGCAGAGAAGTTGAGAATTGAGATGAAGTACAAGTTGGGTTCGTCTGGGCTGGGCTCGTTGTCCATGTGAATCATCACGCTTACCAGGATAACAAGGATTCGCAGTGCGGCAATTGGGCTCGAGGCGTATGTGATTATCGCCGCTGGGCTCCTTGCAGCCCGCACAGTTCTCCAGCAGCATGCGCAAGTAGGCAATCTCCTGACGCTGGTGGGCGACATCTTCACGCAGCAGCTTAACCAATGCCAAGAGATCGCTCAGCGAGCGTGCGAGGGCGTCTGGAACAATGAGCCAACGAAAGAAAAAACCGTTCAAAATAAGACTTTAAATAAAGCAACAATAATTCATGAGCCGCTGCATGAGCGCATATATCCGTATGTCTGTGTGTGTGCGTGTGTGTGTGTGTGTGTGTGTGTGTGGGAAGCGTTCAGGCAACTGACAAGATTAAGGCCTAACCAATGCTAAAATCGCACTCATTTTGAGCTCACCCCTGCACCGCCAACCCGTGCCCACGGAGTCTGCAGTCAGATGTGCCGGGCTCCTCTGATTGCAACCTAATCCGCTTTGTCGCCTGGACGGGTCTAAGCCCAAACGGAGCGACCGGCCCGCAATATCCAGCTGCTAATGCGGCGCGTTTTAGCGCAGTTTAATGCAATGCGACAACAGAGCTGAGCACCCAATTCAATCTAAGCGCACTCAGCGATGCTGCACACATGCCCGAGTCCTACGAACAGTGATGCGAATCAT